GCGCATCGAGTCAGCGATGATTTACAATAATCGTACGCCCGGTATATACGCTCTCTTAAGAATGACTATAAATATGCCGAGAGGGTGGTTTAATATGCGGTAGCCCTTTAATTTATAACAACTTATTAAATAAAGGCCCGCGGCCATTTACGCGCGACCGTGAAGGCGAAACTGCTGCCGGGCGCGTCGATCGGCCGCGATAAATAAACAGAGCTGAATCCCTAGTTCTCGTTTATCGAGTCATTTATCGGCGCGACTCGATACTCGCTGCTACCACTATCGTTTTCACCGTCGAGGTATTTGCACTCCTCTCGGTATACCTATATGGCTGCGCTCTCGACATCGTATGATCGTATCTGCGCGCATTGACGCCGAAACGTGAGAACGCGAATGATATTCTCGTTTTAACATATACATACGTTTTACGTACGTCGAGTGTATGGCTCGATGCACAATTGCGCACTGCCTGCGGCTATAGAAAACTATTTAGCCTCCCCCGGGATTCTCTCTATTCGGGACGCGTGGCCGCGTCGGTTAATAGGTGCATTCCGCTTCGTGGCACACCGGAACGTGCGACCCGAATTATTTATTCTTCGTCCCCTAATCGCGATCGAGATGCCTCTGCTTTGCGAAATCGTCACGTTTCGATTGCGATCGGTGAGAATGACGGTGGTAGTGAAATATTTTTTCCGAGAAGGAATTCAAATTGAAGAACATCGTGAAAATCACTCGTTGAAGCTTCACGAAGAAGTCTTGTAATAATAATTAAGCTTGACAGTTAGATGATATTTAGGTACTAAAACTTTGATGAAATAATTTCACACAAATGGTTTCTTTTTAAATTAGAGGCACTAATTATAAGTAATTAGTTATAACATTTATATATAATTTTTTTAAATACACAACTTTATACGTTTTATATTTATTAAGCATTATCGTACACACTAAATAAAGTATATTACTCAAATACACACATTTGAAAAACGTCTTTTAGGGCTGATTGTTTATTAGATAAACTATTATCATTTATTTAATGGACAAAAAAAGAGCGAAAGAAAGAAAGAACGAAAGCAAAATTTATCGAATAATGAAGCAACCTAGCCTTAGATATATATTCACAAATTGATAAAAATTTCTGGTTGAAGATGAATAATTCAAAATCTTCTGGTTAAATCTATTACATCTTCATTGGGATAACCAGATGTCCAATTATGAAGATCAGAATTCTGATTAGATTAGAACCTTATTGGTTCATTTTCAATTAGAAAGTTTTTGTAGTGTATTATTGTGTGTATGATAACTGTTATCGCAGATCTCTTTTAGTGTGACTGTGATAAATTCAAGATACACCCTGTATACGCGAGCAACGGAATATTCCGGGTGAGCTTGAGGAGAATTAGCCGATGCGCCGATTAATTTCGATACGTCGATGCCGCAGGCCTTCGGGACGGTTGATCCCCCTCGATGCTTAATTGGCTCGGCTACGCTTGTTTCTCGCTCCCGTCGTGCGTGATCGACGGCGCCTCGTCAATGTAACATTCCTTTACGAGATCGAGAGCGAGCTTACCATGGGGAGATCCCGAAGGAAACTCCTGAGAATCAAAAGAGCGGATAAGTCGCGCAGCGCGATCAATTGCGATCAACGATTGTGAGATCGAAATCGTTCGTGAAATTATGACTACACTGACAGGAAAGTGTTTAATATTTGTGATTATAATTGCATAATAAAATAATTATGATTAGGAGCGCTATTTTTATAGTTATTATTGTATAATAATTCTTTAGCCCTTTATTCTATCTTTATTGTTACTTATAGTTATTATTATTAACGTCAGTAATAATAATTATTAGGTTGTCCGCACGGAATTCGGGAAATCTGGATTCAAATTTCGATTAATAATGAGGTAAATATTTTCCGCAATAAGAAAAAATATTATTTTATTTTTTTCAAATGCTAGTGTGTGTGTGTAGAGCATTAAATTTAATTTATGACATTATTATTATTTTAGTGTAATTGTATTGAAAGTGATTGTTATCTTTAAAAATACATATACCATATATGTATACAGAAATATTAGTTCAACATGTAATTTTGACCGCAATTGGCACTTCTTTTACATGTAACGATCGTGTACCTAATTTAATATTGAATAAAAATCACATTTATAGTTCTATGAATAAAAATATATATATAGAACTATATATAGCATGAAAAGAACAGTTCTGCTAAAATATCTAGAAATTTAAATAGATCTGAGAATAATTTTATTGTCAGACCAAAATAATTATGTAGAAAACTCAAGTATGATGAGCAGTGCAGCAGAAAGTTTCAATATTTTACAGCGATCAGTTTAAACGTTCTATGTAATTGCTTTCATAATCCAATAAAAATTATTTTCAGATCTGTATCTAGCTGAATTTTTATAAGTACTTTAGCGAAACTATTCTTTCCGTGTAATAACTGTATAAAAATAAAGTTCCTAACTATAATTTTAATTTAATTAATAAAATAATATTTATGCAATTATAATCACACACAAAAAAAAAAATAACCAAAAACTCTTCTTTTAATATACTATTCGCCATCCATGCAAATAGAGTCCAAGGAGTGACGTGGAATTCGAGATACGTATCAAGTGTTCATTCGTCTCCCTCGATGGGACAATCATTTAACTCAACGTCTCATCGCTTCTGCTTCGCGACCGCATATCCGCGATATAAGATCTTGTGCACACGTGCATACGGCGCGACACAAAAACACCTTACGCGATAGCAATTCTCTCCCTCACGCACGTGCGCACGTCATCCCTCGGTCTCTGCTATCCCTCAGAGCTGCGGGGCGTGAACTCACGTTCACGCACGCCCACGTACGCGGGGAAGATAACTGTTGCGGGGTCATTCGACACGACGGCGACGAGCGTCGGACGCATACATACACACACACACACACGCGCGCGCGTTCGCCGTTGTCGTCCTCTCTCAACCCCTCACCCTTGGTGGCGACGCCGATGTAACAACCCTTACCGACACGGATGGCTCCCTCTGTTGGGGTTGCACAATCGCGTCCTGATTGATAATTTATACGGTGCGTGCAGGTTTATTTGATTATCCGCCTCCAGCTGGGCGGCTTGGCTTGCCCGCGCGGGGCGACTCCTTTCGCCACTCTCTTCCGTCGTCGTCTCGTTTTTTTGGCTTCTCACTGTCTCGTTGTCCTCGCATTCCTGTCTTTCGGACTAGGAACCGATCGGGACGAGAAATAAGAGCGACAATTGGCATAATTTCAGCGATTTTTATGATAGCGTAAACAAGAAAGGAAAAGAATATACGCAAGAAAATCTATACAAAAATTGAATTCGATATGTTTGAAAATAATTTTGTTGCATTATGAAAATAGAACGCTCTCTTCTCGATTGCTAGAATATAATTTTTTGCAGCATTGCTTGATCATTACGTTTGAATTTTTTACATAAATATTTTGATGATCCAACAAAATTATTTTTCGATTTGCGATTAGTTAAATTTAAATTATTTCTATAAAATCGTTCTTCTTCCGTATAGACGTTATCTATCATCATTTTATTTATCGTTTCCATTATTAGTATGAATAAGAATTCAAATTAGCGAAAATAAATAATAAAAATGATTGGATCTTAATGCTTAAATAATATTTTGGTGTAAATTTATATACATATTTAATAAATATTTGAAAAATATTTAATTCAGAGGAGAGACTGAGAGAAGGCGTGACATCGTCGCCAAGCGACAGAATGAAAATATTTGAGCGTGCCCAGATTAAATCGATGTCGCGTCTGTACGGGGGTGTCTCCGGAGGGGGTGTTTCATGTTGTTGTTTGAGTACGCTACCGGGTGCAAGGGTAAATATGGACAATTACAATATTTCTTCCCCGTCTTTCCCTCTCTGATCCTGAGATCGCGCGCGCAGCGGACCCCAGCGAGAATCGCGACGCGGTATTATACGAGGCGCTCTACTTTAGGGTGGTTACGCAAGCGGGGGTTGTGACATGCGGGTGAAGTGACTGTGCTGTGACAGAGAATCGTCGACAGGGGGGAACATACGCGTGGTACGTTGATGGCATAATTGGTATCATTCGGGTGGGGTCTTCTTTTGAGGTAACCCAACGGTCCCATTACGCGCGCACAATTATGTGCATCTTGTTCCATGTGGTTGCGTGTTCCTAATCGAGTCGGTGTTTCTTTTTTACTCGACCGAGATGTAGATATACAAAATGATATCGATCGAAAAGATGCCGCAAAGGGCGATGAAATATTATAGTATTGCTTTATTTTTCTAGACAGATAGATCGGTTTTTATAAAGTCTAAAAATTTAGCTATAAGTACAAATGTGCTCTGAAAACAATTTTATTAAACCATCAAAAAATTATACAGGGCACTCAAGCTAGTTGTTGGAATATTAAAACGTTTTGTACTGTTGCTCATTATGTTCAAATATTTTACATTATTTCGATAGCTAACAAAATTATTTTCAAATCTGTATCCAGCTAAATTTTTAGGTATTTTAACAAAACCGTTCTTCTCTTGCAGATTTATATATACTAATTAGAGAGAAATGTTTTGGTACATAACTATTTATTAACAAAAACTTTCTTAGCTTTTCATTAAAAAATTATACTGTTTTAATCAAAATTTGGTTAGAATAACTAACATTGTATTGTTCTAATCAAAAGATTTGGATAGAATAATCAACTTTTGATTAAAACAATTCTTAAATAAAAAAGTCTAAAATTTTTCGTTAGCCATATATATAGCCATGTATATAGTAATAAAATAAATGATTATATCAAACAATTTTTCTAGTATACTACACGTGATTGCTATTTGCGACATAAATCGACGAAATGTAAATCGAGAGACTGAACTTTAATATAGACTTCGATTGAAAGTATAAATTACATTTTGTTTTTTTTATCCTGAGATAACTTGTAAGATTTCTACTTGACTTGACACTCATTCTCTTCTTCCATTGCTCGAATGTCGTCGTTGTCGCGTTTAAGTCTTTGATTTTCTTATGCTCTTCAAATCGAAAGAAGTTAATCCTGGTTTACCAACACTGGACGATCCTGTTCCGAAACGCTTACTCCGTTTTATATCGTTGTTATTTATGGCTACGCGATCTTTCGTGTAAACGTCATCGTTTTCTGTCTTCTTTGAATAATTATTCAATTTTGCTGTCTCGTTTTCCACTTCCTGGAGTTTCTGATTATAATTAAGGCAAATATCCAAATAAGTGAATTAATTAAAAGGTTTTTTAAAAAAAGATGTGATTAATTCTATATTATTATTGATTTATTATTAATTAGTGGCACTACGAAAGAAATTTATAATAGCCATCATGAAATGCTTTGTTGATCAACAAATATTAAATATACTAAATATATTTAAAGTGCTATTATATAATTTGAAAAAAGGGACACTTAAGTGAAATTTTATTGATATATTACAACATATATTATATCAGTAATTAAACTTCTAATAAAATAAGTTTTTCAAAATTTAATTTTTATTTTTTTACAATCACAAAAAACACACTGTATATTTAAGTAAATACAGTACAATATTTTAAAAAAATTTGAAAATGTATAATAGATACTTTGACTTACTCAAGATGGTAAGAAAATGAATGAAAATATGACTGCTTCTGTGAAATTTGAAAGAATTCTTTTTGCAATAATTTGCAATCAGAATTATATGCTTTTGTTACTTACTTTGCAGGTGCAAAATAATTAACTTCTTTTTAATCTGCTGTTATTGACAAATATCTTTACAATTGCAAATATATGTTACTAATTTTTAATCATTAGGCATATTTAGTTGACAGTTATTGGAATGTTTACTTTATCTTCGTTCGTTCTGTCACTCTTAGGACGCAATGCGGCGGGTTCTTTTGTTCTCACGCGTTTCCACGTTCTTATAGGTAATCTAGAAAAGAATTTCCTCTGTTCTTTTTTTACATCCATGCGCGGCATAGAAATATCCGTCATTTTCAAAGAAAATGTCTTTTTATTTTGCGTTATCTTCTCGGGTGTCAATCGCGAGACAGTCACGTTGATTTGATCTATTTTACTATTTCCAGCATTTCCGCGATGAGAATTCGTATTATCCCTTTCGTTTTCCATTTCTATCCGTCCGTTGCTCGACGAATCTGCGATGCGACTAAACATTCTTGTCAAACGACCTGTTTTCTTGGGAGAATTATTGGAAAGCTTGTTAACGAATTTGTTGCGGTATCGACGATCATCGACGGTCGTTCCAGTTGTATTTGCAATGTCTTCTCTTCTCTCGGTTGTCGGAAACTTGTTTTTCTTTCCTTCGGTCGCCGAATGTGGCCTTATGTTAATTGAATCTATAAAAAAAACATATGACTTGTAAATAAATAAATAAATTAGTCAAATTTTTTATTTTTTTATTTTTTTATCTTATGATATAAGATGCTAAGATTAAAAGTAACATATACAGTTATAAAGAAGTTCAAAAAATGCGGTGTGAAAAAATATCTTTAATTTACTACGTTATTTTTAATATTTTAATTGCCGCACGAGCTTTTTTATTCTGATGCCGTACTGTTTTATGTTTAACATTTTTAAGATAAGTATAAATTGATCAAGAATATGACCTAAAATTTAATATTTTTCAAAATATTTGTGGAGATAATAAATGTCATTTCTGCGCTGCATGTATAAATGTAAATGTACATATATTTATTATTATATATGTAAATTCGTAAAATGTTTATACCATAATTTTAAATAAATTTGTTATTAAATTAGATTTTTTAATGAAATATATTTTTTTAAATAAAAAGTCTTCGGTTAAATTAATAGATCTCTTCATAATATTTTTGAAACAGGTATTTCCTTTAGAAGTGCTAAAAGATATGTTGGTTATCGCCGTGTCGTGATTCATTTCTAATGCCAACGTTTTGTGAATCTCGCTGTTTACTTCATCAAGACAAGAAGAGTGTATCAATTCATTTTTCATCCTAATGAAGTGAACGGGAAAGTTCATGAAACTTTGACATTAGCAGTAGACCACACACGGCGATAACTCGCAAACTTTTTGCTTTCTCTTTAATTCTCTCTCATAATATACTATATAAAATTAATGCAAAATGTTCTCAATTCATATATATATGTGTATACAAATAATAGTAACAAATATGTATGTATATATAGGGCGTGTCCAATATACACAGCTGCCAGTAATGTAAATCTATAGTTTATGTTACGTAAGATAAATATTAGTGAATAGTTAATTGACCTAATTATTTGATCAAATAATAAAAAATTTAAACCGACGAGAACAATAAGCTGGACCACGGGTGTTTCTATATAATTGCGTGTGAATTTATTATACATACTACGTATGAATTAATTGATCTAAAAATATTGCAATAATATTTTAACAATATTTACTAAAAAAAAATAAGTGATGTCTGCATGCGAAATTTTTCACATAGACATTATGCATATCTTTCACGTAATATTTTTAGATTAATATTAATTCTTTTATAATTAACGTCTATAAGGTGAAATCATCTATAATCATTAGTTATTTTTCACTCTTAGTACTTAGGAAGTATCTATGAAGTCGACAAATTAACAGAGAGCATTAATAATTCTCTCTGTAAATTATAATTGTAGAGATATCTGTTGGTGTTTGACGAACTACTTACAAATAACGTCGTCGGTAAAGAAGATCAGAGAAAGAGGAGAGTGAAAGAGAAAAAAACTTGTACTTTTAATAATTTTTCATAATTCTTACCTTTTGCTGTAGAATACATATTCGAAATTTGCCTATCAATGGATGTCTTCATCGATTGACCACGTAAAGAATTCGCGTTTGGTGTATTTAATCGCAAAATCTTGGGTTTTTCCTTCACCATGTCACCTTTCGAAGTTCGATACCTCTCGCTATTTATTGAATTCTTGGGCGACAAGTTTTCTCGACTGTTTTTTTTAACCGTTTCATTGAACTCTTCTCCGTCCGAATCAACAACATTTGTGCGTTTCGGTTGTGAATTGAAGATGTACGATCTTCTCCTGCGCGGCGCCATTTTCTGCAACCCGCCGTGATGTTTTGTCTTCGTTGGATTGTAAAAAGTTGTGTCTTCACATTCCAAATCGTTTTCGAATGAAATGAAATCCCAAAACATTTGTTTTGAAGGTGCGACGGGATCAACGACATTGGGAAGATCATCTTGTTCGCGATACATCGTTATATCGCGAGGCTGCTCGAGTTCTGCAAGAAGTAAATAATAAAATTACAAGGAATTAATAAAACTTTTGTTAGTTTTATAGGGACCATCTCTAATTCTTAATTAGTATTCGCTTCACAATTCCTTAACTGAGTCTAATGTACTTTAAATTAATATATCTTTGCTCCAATTAATTAACATAATTGAACGATTTTTCATTTTAAAGATCAAAATCCGAGGAATAAAATTACGTAACTTAAAATTATGCAAAATTATGAAAAACATTTCTTATATATCTACAATTTTTTATAATGTTTGCCGTATAATTGAAAATAATAGCTGAATCCACTGGATTTATAAATATCTGCAATTAGATTAACGTTTGTTTATCTTTATAAAAAATATACCCGCTTCGCGATTGAAGCTTCCATTGGTTCTCGAAAGGATTTTTGTTCGTTTTTTGCGTTCGCCTGATTGAATATCGGTGTTATGAATTTCACAGAGATTCTTTTTGTCGCTCTCGGCAAGCCATTGCGGAGAAATATTTTTTCTTAGAGGTACGTGGATACTTTGCTTAAATGGAGGCTCAAGATCTCTCGAATAATCGTATCGCGAAACACGTTCCCTACGAGAACGTGCGATTGCATTTTGAGGATTTACAAATTGGATATAATTATCTTCTTCAACTGCGAGGTTGTTTTTCGATAGTTCGAGGTCATAAGAATTTTCCGTATACGAATTGTTGAAATTCGCATCAGGCTCTTCATCGTAATTGCAAACGTTTTGTCGCATTTTCCCTCGGATGTAATTCCCATTTCTGTCCTACGATCAACAGGACGTGTATATATTATAATATAATAACTAGAGAGAAAGAGAGAGAGAAAAAAAAGTAATTTAAAAAATTTCATTTTTATTGTAGTATAGTTAAATTAACAAATATTTAAACAAAATATTATAACATAATCATGTGTATATTATGTTATAATATTTTGTTTATACACATGATAATTTAAATAATTTTCTTTTTTAGAATTAAAAATTTATCTTTTACTTAGTTATAAAATTTAATAAAAGTAACGATTTAGTTTGTTAACAATTACTACAAATATGATAAAGATAACTGTAAAGTTATCTCTACAAATTACTTGGTAACAGAGAACGAAGTAACGTCATTATTGATATCTGAAGCGTCAGTTCATTATTTCGCTATTACATTTGCTTACGTCATTATTATTTAAGTCGCTAACTCTTCGAGTAAAGCTGTTCGGTCGTTCGTGGAGCCATTTGGTGATTCTGCGAGTCGATCTGAGGCTTTCGGCTCCTCCGCGACGTCGATCAAACGCACCATGTGGAAAATGTATAGGAAACGTGGTTTCCGTATCGCAGCCGACGTCTGCTAATTCCACAACCCTGCCTGCATTGCCGTACTCGGTGGATCGGAAGATTGGCAAGATGGGTTCTGAGTCGTCCATGAAAAGAAACATTGAATTTTCAAGGAATGCGCCCATATCTAATTGCGTACATCAACGAGATTGTCATGTGCCAAAATCACGGGTCTCTGTAAAATGCAAATTACGAAAAAAGTCTTGACGAAAATAAAAATCAGAGCGTATAAGTCAAACATAAGAAGAAAGTGACAGAAATATAAATGGAGAAACTTCTAAAAAACCTAAATTGGAACAGCAAAAAAATGTTTTATAAGATAACCGTTTCTTTCATGTTATTATAATTTATGCTTTTTATAAGTTTTGTTTAAGTTCTGTTACTTTTTTCTTATATTAAACTTACCCTTCAATCTTTATTTTCACCAGAGAAAGAATTCATTCCATTGAGGTATTGGATTATTGGAAGAATATTTCTGGATATTGCTCAATAAATTGTAAAGAATTTCCATTAAATACATAATTTTGATTCACCTATTTCTTGTAATTATTTTCTTTATATCTTGTAAATATTTTCAATCGACAGACTGGAGACCGAATGATGTGCCTTGACGGCAATAATGAATCTTTTGTCGAGCATTATTTACATATCGTGGTGTGAATCATTTCTTTTAGCCATTACGATATTTATGAATTTTTTTCATAAAAATTCACATAAAAGATTTTGGTTTTGACATTTTTCACCTTTCCATGGTCGAGAAGACTCATTAATCAAGTGAATCGTGCGGTTCGAGATATCGCAATATCTAAAGTCTGAAACGTTTCACATGGTGAAATTAGATTCCACTATGAATTTCTACAATTTGATATCTTCACGAAATTTTCTTTGTTATTATATGTTGCAATGGTATCGAATGGGAGAAATAGTAGGAACTAATTATTAATTACATTTTATTTATAAGTAATTATATTTTGATTACACAAATTGTAAACAAGCAATTATATCTGAAGTGCTGATTATCATGATATAAACACTAGGGTATGTTCAGATACTGTAGGTATCGTGTCAGATACTGCACATTCATAACACTTTTGTCTAAGCTTACGTCCATAGACATAAATAGTATGTCTATATACTTGAGTCATACATACGTCATATGTATATGTAGAGTCGGAACAAGTCAAACGCGATTCAATAACAGAAATTTTTTATTGTTTCAGTAAATAATTAAATTTTGTATAATTTTTTTTTTAATAGAAATTACAATGCAAAAGGATGTAACAATTATTAAGCAAAAATGAAAAAAATTAGAAATTTAATAAATTATTTTTCTTTTCCAAAGAATCCAATACTTTTCAATAAGTGATGTTAAGCGCACGCACACACACACACACACGCGTTATTGTTGTTCAATTTTGCCGCTCAATGTGACATAGCTTGGACAAAGTTTCTGATTGGCGCTGTTGGAAATGTGCACAAGAGCCTTTGTCATTATATCATGATAACTACAAAGTTCAACTTAAAAAAATTGCAGATATCGTATATCATTTATCACTTCAGTATGTAAAAATGTATGGGAATACCCGTATGTTCGTGGAATTTTAGAGTAAGTAATGTTTTGCGACATCACACACATTTATCTTTCTTGATATTAAATATGAAATATCTTGACATTAAGTATGAATATGTTTTTATAGAACGATATTATTTGAAAGAACCAAAGAAATCTGTAATTAGACATTTGTACTATTAAAATCAGACTTTTGTAAATTATTTTACTTATAATATTTAGTCTTATTTACGATGATAAATCTATGATGATTATAGCTTTTATATATATTTAAAGGCTTTTATTTCCTATTGATTATAGATGTGTTTTGTTTCTCTCTCTCTTTCTATCTCGTCTCTCTTTCTCTCGAGATAATTTAATATTATAAAAAATGAATAATTTATATTACACACACAATGTCGTAAAACAATATCAATAAGTATCGACAAATCACTACTTGATTTTTTTACTTGGTAATTATGTATGTATACGATAGAGAGCATCGTTTTGTCGTCGTAATTTTATAATATAGATTGCAAAATATTATTTTTTATTTAGAATAATCTATTGTTAATGTATGCAGATTAATAATGTTGTATTTCCTTTTATAATTATATAACAAAAAACCTTCCTCATTATCGTGAATATATTGTTGATTACTATTAATTTTTAATTATTTATTCTTGAAAAATTCCAACAAGAAGATAAATAGAGAAAGAGAGAGTGAGAGAAAGAGAGGAAGAGAGGAGAGAATAATAAATTACTATAAGAATATATTTTATTAGGTACATATATATATAAATGTTGTGAATTCGTTTCTGCAAAAAATGAATAAAAAAACGGTAGAAAACGGTAAAGTTGTATTTGTACATAAACAGTAAAACAATATATGTTATGATAGAAAATAATATAACACTTTGTGAACCTTATCGATTCTTATATCACTCTGTATAGATTTTTTTAAACAGGATTATTATTATATAGTAAACGATATCACGTCGATCCTCTATATATACGGATATCTCACGATATTTTATTGCAATATCCTAGTTTATTATTTACTCAGTCGTCTTCAGGATTGCACTTAGAAATCTGAAACAATTTAGGACTTTGTCGAGATTAAGTGTGTTGCGATAGTTGTAATAATTGGTAGTTAATCCATTAAAACGCCACTTTTGCCAACTGTTACGTTATAAGTACTAAAGATTTAAAGAAAAAAAATATATAAAAAGACATAAAAAATTAACAACGGAGGAGATACAAGATATATTCAAGCAAATGGACGTTGCAGGAGCTCAGGCACTTTCTACAGCTTTGACCGATAAAGAACATGAGAGTTTGGAAAGTGACAAAGTTAGTGTAATAAAAAACAAATTTAAATTGCGAAAAACAAACACTAATAATGTATATAATTTTTTTTTAATAGACAAGAAAGAAAAATCAAGAAGTATCAGGAGCTGGCAGTTTCGATATAGAAAAAGTGAGACAAATGAGCATAGAAAGTAATAATTGCACAAATGATAATCAGCAAAATATCGGTGATTCTCAAAGCAGTTCCAAAAACAGTGAAGGAAGTGCAACAACATTCATACTGGAACATATCATGCGTACATATCAAGTTTTTGGTTCCAGAAAGTCAAGGAAGGCAGCTAGAAGAATGGCTATTCAGACGATGAAACAAATTGGGTACACAGCAATGGTTGTGACACCAGGAAAGTTTTCGATAAAACATGCTGCTTCAGCACCTTACCATTTATTTTTCACGAGAGTAGAAAATTCCAAAGAGAATCAACAGTTCTCAATAACTTTCTCTGAGATTCTCGACCGTAGTCTTGGAGAAATTGTTAACAGCCTTCATTTAAGTTTTATAGTAAACGTTGGGTGGTTGTATTTGCAGTATTTGTTGGCTGGCCAACGTACCGACATGACAATTCTGTACAAACATAGAATAAACAATGAGAATTTAAGTAAAAACGTTACTGCAATAAGGGTAGAAAACAAGAGCGATTTCTCTAGCCATCATACGAACATGACGATCCTGCAATATAAAGATGGGATTAGAGTGGTTGTCTCTACTGCTGGCTTGTATCCTGATGATTGGGAAAACAGGACACAAGGGTCCGTTAAATACACTTAAATATTTTTTATTGTTAGTCGTATAATCTTTGTCTGAAAACATCTTTTTATTATATCTCCATTAGATTATGGATTTCGCCTCATCTGCCCTATCTAAAAAATGGATTTACAAATCCTGGTGATGGGGAATCTCCAACGGATTTTAAAAGAGATCTCGTGGGATATCTGAGGGAATATGGAGTAAATGAGCAACCAGAGTTGACGCAATGGATATGGGCGGTGCAGAAGGCAGATTTTTCTAAAGTAAACGTGTTTTTCATCGCTTCTGTTCCGGGTTTTCATAAAATTCCCGAAGCTGATTTTTGGGGATATAGGAAATTGGCACACATTTTATCACGTTATGCTACACTGCCACCAGATGCTTCTCAGTGGCCTATAGTCGCACAGAGTTCTGCTGTAGGCTGCTTTGGTTCAACCATCGAAAACTGGTTGTTGAAAAACATAATTTGGTGTATGTCAAAGGAAATTTCCAAAGGTTTAAAGAACCACCCGAAGTTTCAGTTTATTTATCCGTCAATAGAGAATTATAAGCAAAGTTTTGACTATCAATATTTAAGTACCTCCTTGTCATACAATGAAAAAATGCATTCTAAACAACAGTGGCTAGAATCATATTTATAGTAAGTTTACAATCGTTAATTTTTATTCTATATAAATATTTACGCTTACGTTTTTACATCTTAAAAGCAGTCTGTTTTTTCTACAGAATTTTACATTAATTTCTTAATTTTTATAGTCAATGGAAAGCTGAGCGAACAGGACGAGATCGGACGATGCCTGGTATTAAATCCTACACAAGGATTTCGCCTGATTTAAAAAGCATCCCCTGGTTTGTGCTCACCAGCGCAAATCTGAGCAAAGCTGCATGGGGAAAAATCCAACCATCCGGTTACTATATAGGAAACTACGAGGCTGGCGTCGTATTCATACCAAAATTTATCGTAGGCGCTATATATTATTATTTTAATAATTTCTGATGTATTAACGGATATACATATACATATCGATTAATATTAATTAATACATCTCAAATTTATTTGTATTTAGACTGGCACAACTACATTTCCTATTGGGGATGAAGAAGATTCAGCTGTTCCAGTATTTCCGATTCCATACGATCTTCCATTAAGCCAATATAGACCGGACGATAGTCCTTTCGTCAACGAATTTATCAATACCTGTCTAGAACTCTGTGGGAACTAACGGGAACTGCCGTTGAAACTGATAGAAATAGTCAGCACACGTCACTTTTTCTAGAAGTTTTATGCCATTTTCTATATATAGGATGTATAAAAATTGTTAAATGTTGTTATTTTATTTTTAAAATGCATAACTTAGTTGGTTTTTAGTAGAACTATCGGGAACTGTTGCTAAAAGTGCAAATATTACTTTTATTCTCGTACTTTAGAGGAAATCTGACGTGCCAGATTCGCGTAGTTACACACGAACACTTTGTCAAAGTTTATCTGACACTCGGTATATGATATTCATATCTCGCGATATTTTATCGCGATGTTCTAATCTATAGATGAGTATAATACCTTATACTCAGTCGCCTCTAGGATTGCATTTGGAAACCTGGGACAACTTAGGATATCTTCAGGATAAAATGTACAGTGTAAACAATTGTTAATAATTGATAGTTAATTACTAAAACACAATTTTTGTCTATTACTAAAAAATATTTGAAAGAAAAGATAAAAAGTTATAAGAAATTAACAGCCAGCACAGAGGAACATAAATTCAAACAAATGGCTGCAAGAGTTGAAACACTTTCTGAAGCTTTGACTGGTGAAAAACGTAAGAGTTCGAAAAGTAACAAGGTTAGTAAAAATAAGAATAAAAATAAATAAGAAAATAAAAAATTCTAAATATTAAAAAAAAACCATTGTGTGTGTGATATTAAAAATAACAGGCTTTCTATAATATAAGCTATTACTTAAGCTTTAAATCTTAAATTGTAATTAAGACATTGATCAATCATAGTCTATTATTTTTCTTACATTCAACTATGTCAATTTCTTATGGTTTAAAACTTAAAGTTTATACACTTATTGTAGAATGTGTGTAAGATTTTGATTATGAACCTTAAATTGTGAAAGATGTAGTCAATAAATATAAATTTTTTATATTAGGCAAAAAAAAAAAGTTGCGAGACTTCAGAAGCCGGATCTTCTGATATAGAAAGGAATAGACAGAACAGCACAGAAAGTAATAATTGCATAAATGATCAGCAGAATACCGTTGATTTTCAAATTAATTCTAGTAACAATGAGACAGATGCAAGTTTAAGCATATCTGTAATAGAACATCTGGATACGTATCAAGTTTTTGATTCGAAAAAGTCAAGAAAGAAAATTAGATATAAGGCTATTGATATGATGAGACAAATTGGGTATACAGTAATGGTTGTGAAACCGGGAAGATTTGCAACAAAGTATGCTTCTTCAGCACCTTATCATTTATTTTTTACAAGAATCGAAAATTCCAAAGAAACTTATAATCAACAGTTTTCCATAACTTTCCCCGAGATTCTCGACCGTAGTCTTGGAGAAATTGTTAATAGTCTCCATTTAAATTTTATGGTAAACGTCACATGGTTGTATTTGCAATATTTGTTAGCTGGTCAACGTATTAATATGACAATTTTGTACGGCACAAGATTAGATGATGCGAAATTGAGTAACAACATTACCATGATAGAAGTAGACATGCCGAACAAGTTTGGTTGTCATCATACAAAGATCATGATCCTGCAATACAAAGATGATGGAATCAGGGTCGTCGTCTCCACTGCTAACTTATATTCCAACGACTGGGAAAATAGGACACAAGGGTCTACTAAATATATTCTTAGATATTCTTTATTATTAATATGATGTTTATCCATAATAATCTTTTCATTGTGTCTTGATTAGATTGTGGATTTCGCCTCATTTGCCCCGCTTACCAGAATCCGCGCATCCTAATGATGGGGAATCTTTAACGGGTTTTAAGAAGGCTCTGGAGCGATATTTGAGTAAATATGAACTACCGATTTTGACGCAGTGGATACATGCAGTACGGAGAGCGGATTTTTCAGACGTAAATGTGTTTTTGGTCGCTTCTGTCCCTGGATTTCACAAAGGTGCCGATGTCAATTTTTGGGGATGCAAAAGATTGGCGTACATCCTAACACGCTATGTCACATTGCCACCAGATGCTCCTCAGTGGCCTATAGTTGCACAGAGTTCTGCTGTAGGCTCCTTTGGTTCAACAATCGAAAATTGGTTGTTAAAACACATAATTCAATGTATGTCGAAGGGTTTTTCTATGGGTTTAAAGAATGATCCACAGTTCCAATTTATTTACCCATCTATAGAGAATTATAAGCAAAGCTTTGATTTTGAAAAGTTAATTGCTCCCTTGCCGTATAGTTTAAAAATACATTCACAGCAGCAGTGGCTGGAATCATATTTGTAGTAAGTTATCTTTATTTTTATTTAATCTAAATTTTTGTGCTTAACTTTTTTAATCTTAGGGTGGGTTCAGACTCAGACAGAAAAACATAAAGCAGAAAAGCAGCAATCAATTAAAACTTACACTAGTAGTAAACAGTACAGAAAGTCCAAATCAACGACTACCAGTTAGCACGAGTTCCGATTGGCTGCTGCTTTTCCGCTTTATGCTTTTCTGTCTAGGTTTAATCTGAACTCATTCGTTTTTTCTACATCCAGAATATCAATATTTATTTCTTAATTTTTACAGCCAATGGAAAGCTAAACGAACAGGACGAGATCGTGCGATGCCTCATATTAAATGTTACACGAGAATTTCACCCGATTCGAAAAATATTCCCTGGTTTTTGCTTACCAGCGCAAATTTAAGCAAATCCGCATGGGGAACAATCTATCAACATAGTTATTCTATAGGAAACTACGAGGCCGGTGTCATATTTATACCAAAATGTATCGTAAGTAGAGTTGCAAAATTATACTGTCAAATTCAATTTTATAATTACTTACGGTGAAATTACAGTAAAATGGTAATTTGTTGGTTTCTTACATTTTATACATAAATAGACTATATTTTCGTACTTATGTATAATTAATTAAAAAATTATATAATTATTCACATACACACAATATTTTTTTATTTTATTTTTCATATATGTATTATAATATTATATAATATATTTTTTTTTTTAATCTAGTAAAAACTGTCGTTGACAGTCGCTAAAGTAGCAAGCAACTAAAGTTTTTATAAGTTTATAAGATATAAAAAATATAGTTTAAGATTACTGTCACTTTTTGCTTTCAAAATTTTAGTAAAAAATTTATTTGAAGTTTCTCTAGTTACTACATACTTATATAGTTTGTTAATTATTATTATATAAATATGTTAATAGTATCTCAAAAAATGAAAATTTAAATTAAATAAAAGTGTTTTTAAACCTTTTAATTTAATGACTAAATACTTCTATATCAAATTACTTTATTTCTTCAATTATTTGTTTTCAAATTACTTTATTTTTATAATTTTTTAAAATTACCATTTTACTAGTCTTATAAATTACTGACTAATTTACAATAAACTATTATCGTAAAATTTGATCATTTTCATCTCGTAAGCATTATATTATTATTTTAGTATTATTATTTTTATTACCTATGTGGAAATGTATTTAAGGCGTATGTTTTAGTTGATTGATGTTAATTATTACATCTCAAATTGGTTTGTATTTAGACCGGAACTACTACATTCCCTATTGGGGACGAAGAAGATTCAGCCGTTCCAGTGTTTCCGATTCCATATGATCTTCCATTGTGCCCATATGAATCGAGTGACCATCCTTTCGTTGGAGAATTTCTAATCTGACAGAATATAATTTTTCAGTTGATAATGAAAATAAATGATAGCGATGAATGATACAAATCGGAGCATAAGTCAAACATGAGAATGATAATAGTACAAACAAAGAAACGTAAATTGAAACAATGGAACTTAAAAGAAGTGTTTTAAGCTGTAAATGTGTCTTTACGTTTTGCTCTTCCAATTTGCACTTCTTAAATTTAGCTTTCTCTCAATTTTTTCTTACTCCTCTCACTTACGCATTACGCTCCGATTTTTATTTTCGCCTGCAGAAAAGGCATTCAGTTCCATGAGATATAGAGTATTGATCGGAAGAATATTTTCCGATATTATAGTTTAATAAGGTAAAGAATTTCTATCAATATTTTAATCAATTAATTTTTTGTAATTTTTTACTGTCGCGAGGCGACAGAATAGCTGAATGTTGTCTTTCGCGAAGGCAAATGCGACAGTTTTTCATTGGATGTTATTTATATATTGTAATGCAAAGTATTTTCATCAATTATTATTCGATATTTTACCTGAAAAATTTTTGTTTGAACATTTTTTATCTTTTTATCGTTGATTATCATTACCTAAATGAAGTAAATTGTGAGGTTCGAGTTATCTCAAGAATTTAAAGTCCAAAATGTTCCTACAATATTTGTTATTATATTGTAATATCATGCTGAACGGAATTAGCAGAAATGATATAAAATCTAATTATTTTAATCATGTGATTAATAATTTTATTTATAGTTAAATTTATTTCTGATATAATTATAGATAATGCGGCGATCTTATCTGAAGCGCTAATTACGAAGTTGTAGCGCTAAGCAGTTGTAGATATCGCGTGTTGCTTATCACTACAGTGCATAAAAATGTATAGGAATACTTGAACATTACGTATGTTTGTGGACATCTAGGATGTGTAACGTTTTAATGGCTAAACCATTTATTGCTTTCTTGGCATGAGTCATGAAACGTAGAATGTTGTGTGATTAAGTTTACATACCGACCGTGTTTATTTAAAAGAAATAAAGAAATTCAGAATTAGATATTCGTACTGTCAAAATCAAATTTCTTATGTAAGTTATTTCAGTTATAACAATCAAACTCATTCATGATAATATATTCTATAAGTAATTATGACTATAGTTTGTTATCTGTTAAGTCTCTGGATTTGCAGTATTAAACATATTTATTTAATATTCCAGAAAAGAAACATTGTTCTTTTGTAAATAAATGTTACAATTGTCATGTTAAATATTATTTTATATATGTATCATTTTATATATATGTATTTATTACTATTAAATTAATAATGTAATTGATTATACTTATGAGACACGTAATTTTCAATTACAAATTGAAAAATTAAAAACGTTAATTTTTTTGGCTCATATATATAGTATACATATTGTATTATAATAAAAAAAAAATACATTTTGAAATTAATTTTTTTTGTTGAACAATGGGATCCACTTCGCAATTTTTCAAGTAGTTTTAATATACAATAAATGTTTTTGTCCTGGTAGTTTTTCGTTTTCTGGTTTTGTTTCAATTTTTAATACATTATCTTAATAGCTTCAACAGATAACACATTAGTTCTTTGTTAGGAACTCTAATTAAATCAACACTTAAAACTTTGACTTATTATTTATAAATTTGATAAAGAAGAAAATCGATATGTCATTCTATTTTTCTCTCTACGCTTGCTTTTTATAGTATAATATATAAGACTTTGTACTGCAATATTGCGTCAAGAAATTGTTTCAACGCTATGTAAAAATAATATTAAATAATGCGTTTGTATATATAGGAATTGATTTTAAAGCAATTTTCATATGTAAGATAAAATTTTAAATATGTAAGACGAGAATTAAAAAATTTTTGACATGTATGTAACGTCCGGCCGCCAAAACAACAGCTGACAAGCCGGCTAGAGCCGAAGGGCGCGACAGAGATGATAAGAGCTCAGCGCGTACTATCCATGTCGCAAACATACGACTTCCGAATTCCTAAGCCACGTGCTTTAAGCATGAATTTCTTTTAGCATTTTACATGCCCAATTAATTAATAATTATTTGATCTCTAATTAAATTCAGTATAATCGTCTAAAGCAAACTCACGCACAAGTTGCTAATTTACAACTTATGTAAATATATATATGCATAAGTATATTATACCTTCTTACAAAATTATTAATTATAACGTAATCACAATTAACATCTAGCAGGAAATAGCGAATTATGCTACGCATTAATGCTTCTGTAAATAAGAACAATTGTACTAATATATGTATAACGTGCGCAGCTAAGAACGGCCGCGATGCCGCATATGCCGGAACACGGTCATAAAAGCTCCGAATGCGAAAGCGTGCATATGGATGCATTCTGAGCGCGGGCGATGGTACCATAGCGAAGGTGGGCGGCTCCGAAGAGCACCCTTAATATTAAGTACAAAGATATAATTAGAAATATACATATTATTAGTAATTATATGTCGCCGAAATTTCCAGAATAATGCTCGCCACGGTTATCTCACGTGATAGCAATACTCCCTTTGCCCCTAGACGTCACCCCTTGACGACTATAAAAGGCGATCCTTCGCAGGATTTCACGTATTATTTCCTCTCTAGCGTTCGCCGTTAACACTAGACCAGAGCACGGTAAAACGAATCTTACGAGCAAGCTTCTAAAGCAATTTAAAAGGTAGAGTAACCTTCCGCGAATAATTATTAAATACTTATTGTAAACCAGTCATACGTTTAACTTTTGTAATAAAATATTAATTGAGCACAAATCTTGTGAAATCATTTCATATCATACGAGCACACCAGAGCTGGCAACGGGAAGCATCCACCCCTACCCCTCTCCCCATCGTAATGCGCTCACTCCTTGTGCGCTCAAACACGACTCTTTCTGTTACTCTCTCTCTCTTTTACTAGCTCTCTTCGTGTAATGCGCTCACTCCTTATGCGCTTAAACACGACTCTTTCTCTTTTTCTCGTTCTTATCCACAACTTCCATTCTAACAATCTAACTTCCCACAACCTAAACGTTTCTGTGCCAACCTCTGGGCGACCTTACACGACAATATGCAAACACATTTATAGTCCAAATAAATCCATTCGAAATGTATATAATTAAAGTCTTTATCATTCATTTACAATTCCTTGCTTCTCCGTAGATGGGCAAAAATAAAAAAAGAAAACGCAGTAGGCGAGGCGGCGTCAAACGACAGCTGAGGCGTTTGGCAGCGCAGTTCCACCGACACGGGGACTTCAACTCCGCCCGCGCCGTCTTCGAAAAGTTTCCCTTTCACCCACCTCCTCCTACTTCCCTTCCACCTCCTCCTCCTCCTCCTCCTCTTCCTCCTCTTCCACTTCCTCCTCCTCAACAACAGCTTCCTCATCCTCCTCAACTTCCCAAAAAGCCCTCTTCTCCGCCCCTCCAGGACCTACCAGGCCCACAAGAGTCTATTGCCCACCAAAGGCCACTAACGGGCGAACTCTCTCGCGAGTCGTAAAAATTGAGAGAGTAAATCTAAATATCAAAGTAGAAAAATAATAATAATAGAATAAATATATACATACCATATATCCATTTATACTAAAATTAAAATACGTTTAAACTACTTTCACAGGCTTATTATTTTCTTTACCCTTCGTCTCCCTTCCTCTCGAGCTCTGAATGATGATTTCCTCGCATTCAGGTGAATTTTCTTCACCGATCGGGAACTGACAGAGTCTCGAAAAAAGAGAGGAAATAGAAAAAGAAGCAAAATGGGTACGAGCCAAGGCTCTAGCTCACGCGCCTTTTCAACATAGCGCAGAGATTAAAAACGCGAAAAATACCGTGCGTCGTCGCCCGAACGCGACAAAGTATAACACTTAGGATAACCTGTTGTAAAAAGATTGAAATGTTTGTTTCGTAATTTTTGTTATTGTTTCATAATAAATCTCGTCAATTATTTAGCATAAATATCTTGCTCGACTTCTATAAGCTTTTTATTTTATACATTTTATATTTGGATTCTATTCCTTGGAGTCTCTGTTACTAAACTATTATTCAATTTTAATAAATGTAACACATACCTACATACAATATATTTTCTTATCAATTATAGTACTAATACGATTTACTTGTTAAAAAGATATCTCTCGTATATATGTATACATTTACTATGTAGTAAACAATGCAAGCGCGAAGAGAGCGCTCATTGAATGCTCGGTGAGCTTTCGCACCTTTTTGGTCTATATTTTTGAATATATACGAAATATACTAATCAGACGCAAGAGCTCATTAAGTCGCCAATGAATGGATGTAGTATTGAATGCACCTAGACTTAGAAAAAGCATGCTAGGTCTCCGTTCTCTTTTTTGTTGCAGTCTTACTATTTGCTGACATCAACGAGACGTTCTATTTCAATGAGTTGTCTTTTTTCAAATTCAAGCGAAAACTTTATCTGTTGTATTATACTATATTATTTGTTGTGATTTTCCGGGGATTAAGAGTGTTGTAAATAAAGCTTCTTTTATCTTCTAATCTGTGTGTTTACTCGCTCGATTGCGGAAGTGTTGTGCGCGCGAAATATGCAGTCAAGTCGGAAGCGTGACTGGGCGCGTTCAAGCCGAATAAAGTTGCTCGCTTGCTCGCCGAGCGATTGAATGTGATTGATTGAATCTACAAGGAACAATCAATTATATTCATTAGCTCGGCGAGCAGATTAGCGATTTTGTCTTGAACACGCCCAATATTGCGTCGAAAGCTTTCATCACTCGTTATCATTCGTCATATAGTGTGCATCAAAATCTCTTGCCATTACAGTATATCCGAAAGACAAGACAGCAGGATTGGGTAAGTAAATATTTTTATTAAATTAAATTAAATTAAAGTTAATGGCTTATAAAATTAATAAAATTAAGTTAAAAATTGAAGGAATAAAAAGTTAACTTTAACTGAAGCTAAGTTAAGATTAAATTAACTTCAATTTAAAAAAAGTTAATTTTGAAAACATTATTTTGAAGACCAGAATGTAACTTTTTTTACAATGTGTGTGTGTGTGTGTGTGTGTAATTTTTAAAATTATTTTGAATAACAATTACAAATATACATTTTATAGATAAATTTAATCTTTTTATTCACATATAAGTTATATGATATAATATATTATATTATAAAATACAAAATAATATAAAGAAAAACGGTTTAAATCGAGCGGAGGTTTTTAACAAAACAATAAGAAACAATGATATTTCATTTTTAAAAATGAAAAGTAAAAAATAGATTAATTATGATAGCAAATGATAAGATTTTTTATAAATTATATCGATTTCTATTATTTTGTTTCAATTTGTTAATAGAGTTATTATACAGCACTTGATATCACAAAGATATCCTATCTTCAAGATATCTAGTAATGTCTTATTGGAATATCTTCGGTATTATTTATTGAGTCGTCATTAGGATTGCATTTGAAAACATTGTCTAGGATAATTTGAATTGCGCTATGTGTGTAGTTATCGATAACTAGTGGTTTATTTTCTAAGACGTAAATCTTTGTTTACCGCTATCAAGTATTAAAAATACTAGAAGTAAGAAGATTTGATTTAAAAAGTAAAGAGACATATGAAAGTAAGAAGGAGTGAAACTAAACTCAAATAAATAGATACAGAAGTTCAGGCCCTTCCAACAGTCTTCACCGGCAAAGCAATTCGCAAAAAAAAAAAAGGCATCGAAGTTAGTGAAATTAAAAATAAGTTTGTAAACTTTAAGTTGTGAAAAATGAGAACAATAAATATAAACTTATTTAATAGGCAAAAGAGAAAAATCAAAAGATATCAGGATCCGATTCTTAACTATTACGAAGAAGATGAGACAGAAAATGAACATAAAGAACGATACTCGCAAAAATAATCAGCAGAATATCAGCAACCATCGAAGCAGTTGTAGAATTAAAAGTTCAGGAACATCTATAAACATGAGTTCCATCATGAATATATTTCAAGCTTGTAAAACGCAAAAATTAAGAAAGAAAATTAGTAAGAAGGCCATTAAGATGATGAGACAATTGGGCCACACGATCGTGCAACCGGGAGAGTTTGCCATAAAATATGCTTATTCAGCACCATATTATTTATTTCTGACGAGAATTGAAAATTCCAAGGAGACTTATAAACAAGATTTCTCTATAACTTTCCCCGAGATTCTCGACTGTAGTCTTGGAGAAATTGTTAACAGCCTTCATTTAAATTTTACCGTAGATATCGAATGGCTATGTTGGCAGTATTTATTGGCTGGCCAACGTACTGACATGACGATTCTGTACAGCGACAGAATATATTATCAGAAAAAATTAATTAACAATATTACTGTAGTAAAAGTAAACATAGAAACCGAGTTTAGTTGTCATCATACCAAGATGATGATCCTGCAATACAAAGATGATGGAATTAGAGTGATTGTCTCCACTGCCAACTTGCGTTCTATCGACTGGGAAAACATGACACAAGGGTCTGCTAAATATTCTTAAACATTTTCTGTTGTTAGTGATGTTTGTCTATGAATATTTTTTATTGTGTTTTCACCAGATTGTGGATTTCGCCTCATCTGCCTCGGTTACTAGAATCCGCAAATCCCAGTGACGGGGAATCTCTAACGGGTTTTAAAAAAGATCTCGTGCGATATCTGAATAAATATGGAGTAAATGAGCAACCGGTGTTGATGGAGTGGATATCAGTAGTGCAAAAGGCGGATTTTTCTGAAGTAAATGTGTTTTTCATCGCTTCTGTTCCTGGGATTTATAAAAAGAACGAAGCCAATTTTTGGGGACACAAGAAATTGGCGCACGTTCTATCGTGTCATGTGACATTGCCATCGGATGTTTTTCCGTGGCCTATAGTTGCACAAAGTTCTTGCATAGGTAAACTTGGTTCTAATTTTGAAAGTTGGTTGTTGAAAGATATAATTTCGTGTATGTCAAGGGAGACTATTAACAATACAAAGGGTGATCTGGAATTCAAATTTATTTATCCATCAATTCAGAATTACAAGCAGAGCTTTAGTTATCAAAATTTATCTTGGTGCTCGCCTTACAGTCAAGAAAAGCATTCTAAGCAGCAGTGGTTAGATTTATATTTGCAGTAAGCTACAATTGTTTAATTTATTTTGTTCAAATATTCATGTCTTGTCTAGACGTGATCTATTTTTTCTATAAAATTTTATATTTATTTTTATAGTCAATGGAAAGCTGAGCGAACAGAACGAGATCGTGCGATGCCTCATATTAAATCATATACGAGGATTTCGTCTGATTTAAAAAGCATCCCCTGGTTTGTGCTCACCAGCGCTAATCTGAGCAAAGCCGCATGGGGAAAGATCCAATCATCCGGTTACTATATAGGAAACTACGAGGCTGGCGTTGTATTCGTACCAAAATTTATCGTAGGCACTATATATTATTATTTTAATGATTTCTGATGTATTAACGGATATACATATACATATTATGAAAATGCGTTTAAGGCATATGTTTTAGTCGATTAATATTAATTAATACATCTCAAACTTATTCGTGTTTAGACTGGCACAACTACATTTCCTATTGAGAATAAAGATTCAGTCGTTCCAGTATTTCCGATTCCATACGATCTTCCATTAAGCCAATATGAATCAAATGATGGTCCTTTTGTTGTAGAATTTTGCAATTCTCTTCGCTGGACTAGATGGATGCGTTCAACAGAAAAAGTAATTTTTTAATTATTGTAAGATTTTTCAGTATGATTGGTTTTACTCTTAACTCCTACTGGATCTAAATGTATAAGCCAATCATAATTTTGGAAAAATTTGGTTATTTTTGATTAATATTTTTTCTGAGTAAGGCAATACAATTTCAACTACATGGTAGAATTCTATAAACAAATTAAGATCGATTACGAATCTAATTTCAAGTTTCCAAGTCCTAGTTTGACATTCTAATCTCATTATAAGGAGCTATAGGATATTATTATAGTAAAGGATACACCAAATAGGAAGAAACTAAATTTAAACCTCGAAAAGTGGAAAATCTTATTTTGTTCAAAATTATAGCCTATTCGATATTGTATTATCTTATTTTATATTTTATCAATTTGCTGTATAGAGAGAAAAAATTTAATTATATATTTATTTTGATTAAAGAAATTTTTAATATTTAAATCGCGTGTTTGACTTCTAGTAACATTCAAAAAGTAATTTGGTTTTCTTAAAAAAAAAAACTCAATAATAATACACTTCAAAATATTAATGTTTTATATTTAACAAAGAATGTATAATTATCAGATTAGACTTATTTTTGTATTCAATTTTGTAACAATGTATTATTTAAAAAATATTACATTATTACGAAAGAAATGTTGATTGTTCTAGATATTTGTTGAAGAAAAGTGTACAGATCAAATGGAAGCATCGGATGAAGAAGAAACTCAGGAAAGTAATGATTTTTCCAAGAAAAATAAAATTTCTAATAATTTGTCTAAAAAAACATCCTCGAAAAGAATAAAATTAGAAAATCAATGTTTAGAGGGAACATTTCAAAATTCAGAAACTTATGCAGTAGCTTTAAAAAGCAAACAGAACGATAAAATAGAAGATTTTGGAAATTTTATTTCGCAAAAGTTAAGAAGTTACGATGAATTAACACAAAATATTATTAAAAATGAAATTGTAACCATATTTTTAAATGTCGATAGAAACATTAACAATGTTCCATATGAACTTGTTTCAAATGTTGATACTCTACTAGAAAAAACAGATATATAACTTTTTATATTTTCTCGCAAAATACAATTTCAGAACCTTCTATTTCGAAGTTTATATTATCAAATGCAACACAGCATTCTTCCATTAATGTTATTATGTTAGATGATCGACATTCTTAGTGAACTAAAACATAACTGTAATACAACTTATTTAGTGAGCAACATGGAAAGAACAATGATATATCTTATGAAAACAATATGTTACATAATTTTAAGGATACTTTAAAAGGACACAAATATGTTTCTCCGTTACATTATATATATAATTATAATAATTATTAAAAAATGTAATCTAATATATCATATTTAAAAAAACTGATAAAAGCGAATAAAAATGAATACAATTGATATTCAAATTTAAACACTATATGTATTCAAATACATCCGTTTGTTTCCAATAGGAGGAAAGTTTTATTTAATTCTATTAATTCAATTATTTAGTTGTAGTCGAACTTTCCGAAATTACGTATTCAATGTCTATTCGATTCAATACAATTTTCGGGGAATTCTCATACCGGTTTGTACTTTTTTGCATTTATTTGTGTTTTTCCTTTTATTCTAGAAAAGGAATTTTTATTCCGTAGGAAAACGATCAAATAGCATGAGAAATACGAAATAAGCGTTCCATCGGTAACTCCAGTCGGTAAAATCTTCTTAACATGAAACACAGCCGGAACTGTTTAATCGTAATACTATTATTATGATTTAATTTATTAATATTGTTAAATATATTGTTACGTGCTAGTAATAAATACTATGTCAAAATTAACTGAACAGTTATTAATATTTAAAAAAAAAATTTCTGCATTTATTTTTGTAAATATATACCTGTATAATTATAGATGATAAATTTTATGCAAGATTTCGTTATATTATTTCATAAGCGTTATTCTATTAGAATACACGAACCTTGGCTTTATTTAATTAATTATATTTCTGATATGAGTAGGTATATTATAGGTCCATATAAATTATAGATAACGATTTTATCTGCAGTACCGAATCCGGCTATAAAGTTTCAGTTTCAAAGTAATTGTAGATGGCGTATTGCTTCAGTTCGTTTTAGATTAGTTTCTCTAGTCCGTTTGTAGAGTTCTCTTCTAGGATGAGTAACGTTTTATGAAATCATTTATTGTTTTCTTGTCAAATATGGAATGCCATATGATTACGTTTACATAATATAATTTGAAAGATATAAGGAAATTCAGAGTTAGACATTCGTGACTGACGTCAAGCATCAACGTTTCCTGTGTAAATTTCTTGGTTTAATCTTAACTATAACGATGAATTCTATAGGTAATGATGATATTTATAGACCTGGCACAAGATTTTGGAATATTTTATTTATGTATTTTTTTGATTTTTGCAGAAAAGAAACTTTGCCCTTTTATGGAGAAATGTTACCGAAAAAATCCGATTCACTTCGGTGAAATGTCACATCCTCATTGTAACTATTTGTATATTTTTTAATATTAATTTTATAATATGTAATCATATTATTATCGAATATTTTAATAATTGTCACTTTAATTTTAGTGGAAGAGCTACTGGTAGATCAGTTGGATGGCACAATAGAAATACCAGAAGTGCTCCATTTTGCATGTAATGATCGTTCACAATTGTTAGATCAATTGAAAGTATTGCAAATTGTGCTTAGAAGAGAGAGAAACAAAAATAAGGACAATCAGTCTGGAATTGGTAATTCATCTTCTAAAGCACCATCTTCTTCTACTACTAATGTATCAAGCACTAAAGAAGATTTGAAGGGTAAAGTAGAAAGACATAAAAAAGCTACAGTGCAAAAGAGGCAAGATAAACTTAAGCAGATGGATGCAGAAGCTCAGGCACTCTCTGAAGCTTTGATCAGAGAAGAATGTGAGAACCATTTGGAAATCAAGGTTAGTGAAATTTAGAATAAATTTGTGAATTTTAAATTATAAAAAGTAAATAAGTAAACTTATTTATTAGACAAAAAAGAGGAATATGGAGGCATCAGAAGTTGGTTCTTCTGTTACAAAAAAAATGAAACAGATGAGCATAGAAAGCAGCAATTGCACTAAAGATAGTCAGCAGAATATTAGTGACTCTCAAAGCAGTTCTAAAAGTAATGAACAAAGTTCAGGAATATCTGTCATGGATATGTATCAATCTTGTAATTCTGAAAAATCAAGGAAGGAAATTAGGAAGAAGGCTATTCAGATGATGAGACAATCTGGGTATACAGTGTCTGTTGTAGAACCAGGAGAGTTTGCAGTAAAATTTGCCTTTTCAGCCCCTTACCACTTATTCTTCACGAGAGTTGAAAATTCAAAAGAGACTTATAATCAACAGTTTTCCATAACTTTCCCCGAGATTCTCGACCATAGTCTTGGAGAAATTGTTAACAGTCTTCATTTAAATTTTATGGTAGATGTTGGATGGTTGTGCTTGCAGTATTTGTTAGCTGGTCAATGTACTGACATGATGATTCTGTATGGTGATAGAATAGATCATGAGAAATTGAAGAACAACATTACCATGATAGAAGTAGACATGCCTACCAAGTTTGGTTGTCATCATACGAAGATTATGATCCTGCAATATAAAGATGATGGGATCAGGGTGATTGTCTCTACTGCTAACTTGTATTCTGACGACTGGGAAAACAGGACACAAGGGTCTACTAAATATTTTTAGATATTCTTTATTATTGATATGATGTTTGTCCATAATGATCTTTTCATTGTGTCTTGATTAGATTGTGGATCTCGCCTCATCTGCGTCGGCTATCAGAATCTGCAAATCCCAATGATGGGGAATCTCCAACAGGATTTAAAAAGGATCTCGAGCGATATTTGAATAAATACAGACATCCGGCATTGACGCAGTGGATATGTGCGGTACGGAGGGCTGATTTTTCGGATGTGAATGTGTTTCTTGTTGCTTCTGTTCCTGGGACTCATAAAGATAACGAAGCCGATTCTTGGGGATATAAGAAGTTGGCACATGTCTTATCGCGTTATGCCACATTGCCACCAGATGCTCCTCAGTGGCCTATAGTTGCACAGAGTTCCAGCATAGGCAGCCTTGGTCCAAATTTCGAAAGCTGGTTATCGAAAGATATAATTCCGTGTATGTCAAGGGAGACTACAAAAGGTTTAAAGAGTCATCCGCACTTTCAATTTATTTATCCTTCGATAGAGAATTACAAGCAAAGCTTTGATTGTCGAAATGCATCGTGCTGCTTGCCGTATAGTGCAAAAGTACATTCTAAGCAACAGTGGATAGAATCATACTTATAGTAAGTTGCAATTGTTTTATTGTCACTTTATTCTTCTTCTTAGAAGTGATTTTTTTCCTAGAATTTTTTTCATAGAATTTGATATTTATAGCCAATGGAAAGCTAAGCGAACAGGACGAGATCGTGCGATGCCTCATATTAAATCCTACACAAGAATTTCGCCCGATTTGAAAAACATTTCTTGGTTTGTACTCACCAGTGCGAACCTAAGCAAAGCTGCATGGGGAGTCCAACGAAATAATCATTACATAATGAGCTATGAAGCAGGCGTTATATTCATACCAAAACTTATTGTAAGCAACGTATTATTATTTAATAGTTTATAACATGTTAGATGTGTTATGAATATGTATTACAGAAATGTACTAAAGACGCATATTTTAATCGATTAATATTAATTATTACATCTGAACGTCGTTTGTATTCAGACTGGGACAACGACGTTTCCTATTGAAGACGAAGAGGATCCAGCCGTTCCGGTATTTCCGATTCCATACGATCTTCCATTGTGTCGATATGAATCGAGTGACAGTCCTTTCGTCTGCGAATTTCTGAGTTCTTTGGGCAGAATGTAATTTTTCAGCTGATGATATTAATCTCATGAAAGTCCTCTTTTTCGTTTTTTTTTTCAATGAAGTAATATTTTGCATGTTTATTTTGCTGTGTTTGTATATTTATTTATATATGTATTTTTACAAAATAATGAAGTATTAAATGCCAATTTTTTGTAAACCTTTCCTTTGAAACTTTTAGAAGCGAATAGGAAAAGCAATAGTTTACTTTAATTTATAGAATTCACAACTTTGATCACAGATATTAGAAATTAGGTGTCGATTTAGCTACTTCATAATTTTTATTATTTATATCTATAGATGTTATTTTTAATGATTCGATACTTAATCGAGAAATATATATGATATAGGATTATTTATATACGGGAGAAAAAACAAGGAAGTAATAAATTGTTAGAGAATTCTCGTATAGCGCCTGACTTTTTCCTCAGTCTTGATTTCGCGACGAATTCGTGTCCGTCGCTTTGGACGCGTTTTCCATAAAACATCAGCACGAAAGCGCTTCCTCAATGCGAGAACCGAAACGTAATATTAGCGTTGTCCGTACATGCTTAGCCTTCAAATGGCTGCTAATCAAATCATGATATATATATATA